AAAAAAAAAAAAAAAAAACTATGTCATTAGTGATCACCGAATTAGGTGATAGATGACTGTAGGGACCTACGCCAGGGACGCTTTTTCGCTGATTAAGTGCATATTCTAAAGAGCTGTTTCAAATATATTAAAAATTATTCAGTGGTTTAGAAAGATAAATGTATTCTCTAGATGTTTTATTTCAAAATGTTTTTCGTTATTGTTGGTCGTTTAATTACAAATGACATTTGATTTTCAACTTTAGTTTGAACATCTTAAAAAAATTGACTTTACTGGTGTTTTTTATTGTCAAGGCCAATTAGCTTTTAAACTTTGTTAATGTTTTATTATTCTATGACTATCCAGCTTTAATAAAAGATCAATTATGACGAATTTAAGACCAATTGTTGAATCTCAGTGACCGAAAAACTAACTCAAGTCAAAGTTGTCAATACATCACGTTTGGACAACATTTTAGGACAGTGGGGTCACTTTTTTGGTAGGAACACCGGCTTTATATTTTTTTAATATATAAAGTTACAAGGAACACAATGATATGCAATTTATAGTGATGTGGAGGGAGGGGGCACGAGAGGGTGGTCTGTCCCAGGGGCTCTCTTGCCAAACCTTCCCTCCTCCCCTCCCCCCTCCATCGCCCCTCTTTCGAAATACATTAAAATGAATACATATTTACTTCACTGACTCATATCAGGCAGGTTATTGAAGATCAAAGATCAATGCATATGATAAAACATGAAAAATAATTTAAATTGAAAATAAAATTTTCCAAAATTTGTAAACCTGTATCTCTTAAACTACTTGATTTACTGAGCCTGTTCTGGTATTAAATTAGAGCATATTTAGTCTTGTTTAAAAATGTATAGAATATTATTTGTTGAAAAAGTGTTACTTTGATAACGTGTGCGTACAGATGGGATTTATCTATAATTTAAAATGGTTAATAGCCATAAAGTCCAATGAAATGGTTGGTAGCTCCTAGTCTATAAGCACATTCCTCGAGGTGGGGGCAACAACTTGGTGATGATCCTGTTTAAAGTCCTTTTTTCACCGCTGGAACTCTTATCCAGGCAAGGGCCATCCCTTAACTTCCTTCGGCCAGCTCTTCGGATGTGGCCGAATCTACTGCATCTACATTTCCTCTGCTCACAGTTTCAAAAACCTGCCCTTCCTTTCCACAGAGCTTACACTACTTCTTCCAAGCCAGGCAGAATGAATGGGCATCGCATTCATTGCCTCATTTCACGGCACGTAGGGCAAGGAGACTTAGGAGGATTTTGATCCCTTCCAGTCCTATCCTGATTACCGGTTAATCTCAAAGTCTGAGGCTGATTAAAACGCGCAGTCAGAACATAATTTTCGCCTGGCCAGCAATGGTCCTCACTCTGACCTTCTTCTTAGTCTTGGCTACAGTGAAGTATGCACATATATTTTTTACTAGGTATTGTTAAAGAACTATGATATTCTAAAACTCAAGTAAAAAAACTTGTTGAGGAAGTATGGAGAAAAGGGATAGGCTAAGAAAATCAAGATCATTGTGAAAACCAAGTGAGTCCACAACTTACAGCATAATATAATTTTTACCTGAAGCAGAATTATTTCATTTTTTTCAACTCTATAATGTATTATTCCAAAATTGAATTTTTTTTTCTATTCTTTCATTCATAATTTTATTTCCATTTCTAAAATTAATCAAGTGCACAAATTTTTATTTTTAGATTTGTATTCATTATTTTTAATACAATCTTTTGTTGTTTCACAAATGTTTAATTTCAGTGATCCAATCCTTATAGTCCTCACCAACCCAAAATAACACTTTAGAGATCTTTGGGTAATATTTGACTCGCACCAAATTACCATGATCATGTTGGCCCACAAGCCAGACTAGTTCCCCCCACTAGTACTAGTATCAATAGTTTAAAGAAGGGATTCATATTATTTTCTTTGATTCTTAGATAATTCAAAGTATTGACTTTAAAATAAAATACCTTGAATGCACAGGGAATTTCACATAATCCATTATTAGCAGTTAAAAATAACTTTCATGATAGTAACTATCATGTATTACATACATATACATATAAATAAAGGAAGTTTTATAAAAATGTTAATTAATTAGCAACAATTTATAAAGATATATATTTAATTAAACAATGAATACAAAAAATATCAATCTCACAGTGAGAATTTCATACATATATATATATATATATATATTAAATATCCGCTACTTTACAATAGTGACAGATGAAACCAGAAAACAAATATAAATTCTTTAAAGAGACTCATTAAAAAAGATCAAGAAATTTAAATACAATATAATCCTAAATATTTTTAGTACCTTACAATATCAGAAAAAAAGATGATAATTCATATATTAAAAAAGAAGGCACATGAACAAGAGCGACCATAACCTGAATAAACGCTCTTCAAAGCTTTAAAATATGAATATGACATAATAGACAAAAATACATTATGGTATTACTAATATATCGTCATTACATGAGTCAGTTCATATTATTTATACATTAATGACCAATCGTGAATATTATTCATGGAATGGCTTGCCCAATAAACATTTTTTATTATTAGTTAATATACAAGCAACAATTGGAATGCATTTCAAATTTTCTAAAGTAAAAGAGAAAAATAGTAATCTGTGTTATTTTTACTAATAAAATACATTAAAATGCAATAAATACTAAATATAATTTTATGTACTAATTCATAATTTTAAAAGACAAGAAAGCGATAACACAAAACTTATTTAATTCAGGTAATTAGAATCTGTTTCATTGTAAACTAGACAAAAATTTTTATAAAATACAAATGCAGTTTGTCTTTGTTAAAACCATTTAAAGAAGAATTCTGTGCGGGTAAACATTAAGTTGTGTTCTTCATTAAATTGTGGATTATTCGCAATGTTTTTTTATAAACATACACATGCCCCACTTTAATAAAAACTTTCTTGTTTAATAAGCTTTAGTTGCATATCGATGTATTTGAGGTTTGTTTTAGAACGAAGTTGATATTTACCACTATTAGTGTGAAAAATTATGTGATTTGATATTCTGTCCCACCAGAGTACATGTATTTTCAGCAAAAATAACAACTGCGAAATTATTATGAAGTTTTAATTTCTTCATTTTCTTGTGACCTGGCATCTCTTTTAGTATATTATTTATGAAAATACATGTTTTATTCATTAAAAAAATATTGATTTTTAAAAATTTATTATATAAGAAGATAATTAACACAGATATCTATTGTGGGAATTGATCATTATGGTATTAAGAAACTAACTAAATGTTTTTAAATCCTAATATTTAAGTTCACCTGAAAAAACTTCTGGTGTTTTATATTTAGACATTTTAATTCACAATAATGAGTTCATCTCCTCAATTTATTTCATATCCTTATGGCTATTTGTGAAATAAAATATCATATTTCTTGTAAAGTGTATGTCTTCAGAAAAAATATTTTCCAATGGAAGTAGTTTCCTTCCTTTTTTTTTTTTTTGCATTTTCATTTATGTATCCGCACCTGTCAATTATAATTATCGACAATCAGCAGATGTGCTGGCACAGTGTTTTCTTCCTTAAATTTGCAAATGGTTTAATATTCCCCACAAAAACAGCTTTCATTAGCAACTGAAAGTAACAGCTCATTATTGTAAATTAAAATTTCTAAAAATAAAAAAATGAAACACTAGAATTTTCTCTCGTTCTCTCATTATATGTATATGTACGTATGTATGTATGTACATACGTATATATATTATATATATATATATATATATATATATTATATATATATATATATATACTATATATATATATATATATATCTATTATATATATTCTATTATATATATATATTATATATATATATATATATATATAGAGAGAGAGAGAGAGAGAGAGAGAGAGAGACATTTAACAGAAAATCATAGATAGAACAGATAAAAGGAAAATTTAATATGATAAAACAAAACAGATTTTCTAATCAAATTTATGAAATCTGAAAAAAATTTAGGTTTAATAAGAAAAAAATGAAGGTAGAGGACATATGAGAAGCTGTTTTGACATCATTATGCTAATAAAAAGATAAGATGGAGTGAAAGCCATTTCTGTAAATCAAGGGAATCTTTAATAATTAAAATGTTTAAAATAATTTAAGGTATATTTTAATATACAATAAATCAGAAAAAATTTTATAAAATTAAAATGAATATTATGAGTACAATAATATCATTAATATATATGAAAACAATTGGATATCAAATAAGTTATGCAATTCTGGGTACATAAAATCATTTCTCGGACATGATAATAATTTTTAAAAATCATTTACAAACAAATTATACAATAAAAGTTTCCATTCTAATTCCAAGGAAAAACTATAAATTCAGAAATAAACTTTATAAAAACTAACAAGATCTTAGAATAAAAATATAAGATACATTTCTTGTATAAACAAGTTTCTTATAACAAACTATCTAGGGCCTCAAACTTAAATAAATCATTGCATCAACATACATACCTACCAATTGTGAGTAATTATATGTTCAGTCCTATCAAAAATGGGTGATTATGCCCAAATACATTTCATTTTGCATGCCAACAACTAGAAATAAATATCAAAAATCATCTGTATTTAAACCAGAATAAATTCCAACTTATTTACGCTAATATAATAAACATTTAAAATATCTTCCACAATAATTAATTTTAGTTACTAGTTAGGTTATTCACAATTTGTAAGAATGTAATATTCTTCCATAACAACAATGAATACAATAACAACCATTTTCCAAAAACTTATTAAGTGGTAATAAAATTAGATACAATAAAATCCTACCATAATATATTGTTCGTTTTATATATAACAGTATCAATATGTTGCTAATTTGATTAAAAATCGCAAGCAGGCTTTATTTGTGTACTTTTTCACCAATACCAAAAAAATTAAAATGGAAAGATTTAAATCTAATGGAAAATTACCTTAGCGTCTGTATCTTCCAATGTAAGCTTTGCAGTTAGGGCATGAATGATGGACATCCATGCAACTATCGATACAGCATGGAATCAAACAGCAACCACACCAAAAGCTAACAAGATATAAAACAAGAAAATTATACAATAATAAACTTCATTAGGCAATGCTACAGGTCAATTATATTTTTAGTGTACTTATCACACAACTTGATAACTAAAATCATGTTTAATTTTTAATTTTCAAGGGTTTAATGATAATGTACTCTAATAGTTTTAATTAACTAAAAAAAGTAACAACATAATTCTGCATAGACATTAGCAGTACACATTTTTAAAATTGCTTAAATTTTTCACAATGTCGTCAATGCCTAATAACAATAAAACTATAACTCAACTCAAAATTAATAAATATTAAGATCTTTTTCCAAAAAAAAACAATGTCCTTAATAATACAACTTAGCAATTATCAACACAGCATAGACAAAAGGTAAAACTGAATGAAAAAAGTCAGTTTTTGGATAAAACAAGAATAGCTATGAGAATATGTGGAAGGTTTTTATAATACTATATAATATCATGCAGATGATAAACAAGCACAATCCAAATTTACAACACAAAACTATAACATGGCCTGGATATCTTATTACTTGGTATCGGGAAAAGTAATACATTATTTCAGGAAACAAGCAGGTTTAAGATAAAAAACAAAACATAAATAGCCAAATTTCCATTCCAGCCAAAACATAAATTCCAATTAATCAATAGAATATGTAAGAATGCAACAAAGATGATGACTGCTCAAAAACATACATTGAACATAATAGCAGAAGAATTAGAGATATCATAGCTTAAGTAATAGATATTGGACACCGCTCACCGCCTGCAGGCCGCGCTATTTATACTATAGCAACCGATTTTGACTTAACTTAACTCCTATAGCTCCCAGTGAAGCAAAGGAACACAATAAACAACCACAACAGTAATTGAGAATCAGATAAAAAAAAATTGGACTGGAAAACTTAAAACGAGGAAACAAATAATGCTATTTTAAAAATAAAAAATTATCTTCAACAAAAAGGAAATTATATGAAATTATCAATGTTTAATAAATTGATAAATAGTCTTAACAATATTATATAAATATTGCAAATAATTTGAAAAACATTTTGCTACATGAAATCAATAATTTGTACATTGAAAGTCAAGTATTTAAAAAAAAAAACTTTACTTTTAAGAACTGGATAAAATAATTTTAAAAAGTTGTAAATTAATAGAAATCAAAAATTATCTTACCCAAATAAGAAGATGAGAACACCAGAGAGATAAGCAATAAGTCCCGGTTCAGTTCTGGTAACAGTTTCAATATTCAGGCCACAGTTTGGACAAGTAGCAATCAATGGTTCTGGCCCAACATGAACTATAGGTGCAAGTGGCACAGCCTGAGGTTGCGATGTTACAGGCTTGAATCCTGAAACAGATAAAAAATAAATGAATGTTGAATAGACAAGAGATTTTAAAGTAGCTTTACATTATTTTTACTTTATAATTTGAAACAAGTTTAATTAAAACAAAACCGCTCCATATTGCATTGGCGAAAAGTGTGAAAATAATTTTTTATCTATCACATATCTGAATAAGCAATAATAGCATTCATACTGATGCCACGGCAGTCACTCAGATGACTGTATTGATTGAGAATGGCTAAAGCCAGTGATAAACGGCCTGAGTCCACGAGCTTCCTGAAACAACTATTCTGCAGGTAGTCCAGAACTACGGGGTTACAGGAAGCTAGGAGGTCGGGATCGGGCCATCCAAGAGCAACAGGTCCAGCTGATAACAATTTCATTGCTATCCAGACTCTCAAAAACCACTTCCAGACTTCAGTTGAGACTTCTCATAGATGCGTATTGCTCCAGGTACAACTGTCAGCACACACACAGTAAGAAGAAGGCTTACTGAACTCAACTTGCATACTAGGGTTCCTGCTTCCGACACTCTACTCGCCACAGCACACCGAGCAGCTTGCCTTCACTTTTCTCATGAACACGCTATCTGGACAGAAGATGATTTGGCCTCTGTTCTATTTTTTGAACATTCTAGGTATAGCCTTTGTTGCAGAAAAATGAATTCGAATGTGGAGAACATCAGGTAAGCAATAATGTTCAAAGCAATATGACACGAAGAGTGCAGCTAGGATGAGGGTCAGTTATGGTTTGGGGTGGAATAGGTTTAGAGTCAAGGACAGACCTCCATGTGTTCCGAAGATTGACGGTCAATGCACACAAGTACATTACCGACATCCTCAAGGAATATGAAATGAAAAAATAATTTTATTCTGGGACTACAGTCCCCTAAGAATAACAGTGTTACAAATTTATGGGTATTAGTCTGGCTTAAAATAATAAAAAATACAAGCTAATATACTGCTTATTGGTATTGCAGTTGTGCAATAGTTGAAATTATATAGTATACAGATACAAGTAATTTTATACATTTGAGGAAGTTTGAATGTGGAATAGGTGGTGGAACAGGAGTAGTTTGAAGGAATTTGTGGACGAGGATTGACGTATGGAGATAGGAAGAGAGTTCCAAAAGGAGGTAGCACGAATGACAAAGGATTTGCTGAAAGTAGTTTTATGGGAAGGGTTATATAAATCTAAAGATTGAGACGTAGTATTACAAGAGTGGATAGAGGAGCGTAGAGTAAGGAGTTCCAGGATGTAGGGAGGGTTTTTGGTTCTGAGAACGTTCAACGTACCAGAATGATACATGCAAACGGCTGGGGATCCCGAAAATGTATCATATGAAACAGTTCATGAATTTCTTTAGTCTCATTTCTAGCCTAGCAGATAGCCCTACATGCACCAAACAGCTGTAGTCGAAGTGAGGGAATATAAGGGAGGTTACAAGGAGCTGTCTGGTTTTTAGAGGAATACAATCACGGAATCTTAGGAGTTGTTTAAGGACAGTTATGGATTTTCGGGTAATCTGGGTAATATGTGGTACCATTTGTCCCATTTATAGCCCTTCCCCTGTTGGTTTCAAGTCCTTCATCAGGCTAAATAAGATATAAAAATTAACAACAATAAAAAGCAAAATATACAAATCAATCTATAAAATTAATGAAAACTTAACAATTAAATACATTAAATAAAAACTAATTATCACCTACTTTATGACGGTCCTCTTCACCTGTTAGTAACATGAGAAATAAAAACAAAACTATTGTCCAAACAGATTACCCCCACTCCTCATGTCTGGTTTTCATTAGCCACTACTAATGTAATGAGCACATAATCCTCAAATTGAGTATTATTGATATTTGAGCATAACAGATTATTTTTCATTGTTTTTTTTTTTTCTTTATCTCTGGTTTTTAAAGAAGATTCATTCTTTTTCCTTTAGATATAGGTTGTATGAGTTTTACAGTATTATTATTATGTGGGTACAAAGGATTTTCAAAATATTACTTTGTGAATGGGAACAAAGGATCTACTTTGAGAAAATAATTTCCTACCCTCCATTCAAGACTGGAAGCAAAATGAATTTTCCCTGATTATTAGGTGTCACACAAAGAAGGGGGAGTGGTTTTGCACTAAGTTGCATGCCTTTGGGAAGAAACTTAACCCCTAATATCCCAGTTGTGGTGTTCTGAAAACATGGCATCACCATTTGCACCACTTTTAAGACAATAAAGGCCAAACTACAGAAGAAAACTGGACTCTACATCATCACGGAGAACTATTTCCTATTCAGCTAGTATGTAAGGATGACTATCCGTACTACAAAGCATTTGTTTAAGAACATAAGAATTCAATGGGGGTTGATAATTTCAACCTTCTCTAATGAAGAAGAGCAAAAAACTAGAGAAATGGTAGAAGTAGTACGATACTTCTACCAAAACTAAATGTTCCCGAGAGACAGGGAAAATGAAAATAAATAAAATAGATAAAATTCTATAATTGCTATATTACTAAATGCTATTCTCATGATATATATTTTTTTTATATTGATAATTTCCATTATTCAATATTATGGAATTTTCAGATATTCTTCGTCAGTATTAATCCCACTCACTACATCCATTCCTTCCTTCGAAATATAAGTTCAAATAAACACAACTTCTTTATTGATTCACTACAATCTTAGCCTCAGTTTTTGTATTATTAAGTCAAATAACTACAAATAATAACAAATCTAATTCGTTCAATAATAATTATCGAGATAAAAATGAGAAAATAAATCGTAAATTAACAGTATAGACCAACTTAATAAAACAACAAAAATTAAGAAGTACAATAATGAAAAACTTACAAATTAATAATTTTAAAATTTTGTTCAATAGAAAAATTGAATAATTGAAGTGATAATTTCTTTTAGTGAGCCTGAGTAAAGGTTTTTACCTGTTATAATTTGTGGTGGATTGTTGTGATATCAATTTCCAAAAGCTATTTTGAGAAGAAACACAGGTTTTTAAAAAATGAATATGGGAACAGTAGGTGGGGAGCAAGAGCTGACATTAAAACAGTAAGCAATATTCGACTGCTTTCGATATTCAATGAACAATTGTGACGAAAGTAATCGTGAACCACATCTAATCAATGTGGACCATCTCTGAACAAGTATCTAAAAATCACACTAATAGTAAGTTATAAACTATTGGTAATTCAAGAAAACTAAAATTCAAACCTCTAAAATATCTCAAGACATCAATAGCAGGCAATAATTTAATGAGGAGGCAGGGACTTCGGGCTTTAGATTCAATAAACCAAAACAAAAGAAAAACTATTAACAGTTCAAATAACCTGGTGGTGGTGGCGGAGCCTGTTGACCAGTAGCTTCAAAATATGAAGGAGGTGCAGCTGGATATTTTGAATTTCCTGAGTAAGCTTCAGCATTCATTCTGAAATGCGAAAACAAAAGAACTATTTAATTGTAAACAGAACAAATTCAATTCAGATTAAATAAGTACGATTAATAACATGGAACAAAAGTATGTATTTATTCTATAAAAACATGATAGAATAATACACAATGTACCTACATACAATTCGAAAGCAATTCATAAAAGTAAGAATACAAATTAAAACCTACCTAATTGTTACATAACTGCATGGAATATACTCATTATGATTCATTGATAAGTAACATGTCATCACAAATTTAACATTGACATCACTAATAAAATTAAATAAATATGCATTGATAACAGTTAGAACTTTAATAATTGAAAAAAAAAGAAAAGAAAATTACTATGTGATTTACATTCCTGTTACAAAATAAACAAGTCAAATACCAATAAATACACTACAAAAGTTGTCTGAGACAATAGTAAATAATATGCAATCATGAAAGCTTATGAATTTAACGATATTACATGTATGGTATAAATAAATGAATAAAAATAATTGTAAAAAAATGAATGATTTCCATTATAACTATAAATATATCAAACCATTTAGTTGCATCATTATTCGGTTAATCAAATGAACTAAATTTAGAATTAATACTGTAATTACTTACTTCGGAAATCAGGAATTCCAACACTTTAATACTAACAACCAATAAGTTTATAACCTAGTGAATAGCAGTCAAATGTTATCTGGACGGTATCAAGGTCGCTTTGAATGTCTTGTAAGGATCGATTATTTAGGAAACAAAAAGATACTAATGCATAACGATATCATATTAATAATAATCGACAAACATATTATTTAAAAGAAGGATGGTTGGGAAGATCAGTCAATATAAAAAATAGTAAAAATAAAAAATTATAAATATTTTTATATTTGCCGATGCTTCAGCCAAAGTTCACGCCTTTAATAGAACTAAATAGGGCCAATCGAAAGATTATGGAAAGATGGTCTTTCCACGCTCCTCCGATTGACTAGGCCTGAACTTCGTGCCGAAACATCGTAAATATAAAAATAAATATAATTATTTATTTTTACGATTTTCTATTTTGACTAATCACCTCAACCATCCTTCTCTTCAATTATTCACTACAATCAACTATCAATCCACAATTATACATACTATTTAGTTTTTAAATGGTTATAAAATACTATATTGTTAAATATGGCTAACAAAGTAATACTGTAATAAAATTATACATATTTAAAAAAAAAAATGAGAATTATTATAGATTTGGGAACTGAAAATAATGTTTATAAATAATAACAATTACATAAGTAATTAAATTTAAATAACAATTCATTAGAAAATGAGTAGTCCATTAGTCAAATAATCAATTAAGAAAAGAGGAAAAGTCGACTTGATAGCTAAATAGAATAGGTACGTAAGTATTTTATCACACCCTAAATGTTCTTATTATCTAAATTTTCATTTATATTCAAAGGAAAAATATACAGCAATATCGTAGGATTTTATGATTCATTTAACTCTCATGTGCACTCCTCCGTTTTTACTTGATGTCTTACCAGATTATCCGCGAAAATGTTGAACAGAATCTGCGAGATTTCATCCCACGGACCCAAGCTTTTTAAAATCTCGAAGACTTCAGGTACTTCTCCTTGAACCAGGACTTGGTATTTAGAATTATTAGTACACGCATTCGTCAGTGCCAGCAATTTCACGGAGTCTCATAACTCTGTCATGAATTTCCAAGTATTGTTTCTCTCTAAGGAATCATAAGCTTCCAAGATTCTTCCAATCGTTTTTCAAGCAGTGTTGGGCTAAATTTATCTTAAATAATAGATATTAGGAAACGAATAATTTATTAAATAATTTATTCAACTACGAATAAAGAATGATTCTATTTATCTCTTTTCTAGATAATCGATAAACACAAGTAATCTATTAACTTTTTATTTGTTACTCGAGTTTTTCAAATCATTCAAATAAATTAAAAATAATTCGACACTAATTTTATTTTTATTTGATATAAGGACCTATTTATATATTTTCAGAGCCATAGTTTATGAAAATGATGTCCATTTTGAGATTACGCCACTGCGTTTTGACTTATTTGAGTTTTTCGGATTTCTTCCATATCAAGTTCTATTTATATGTTTTCTTAGCCACCAATTTTGAAAATGATTTTTTTTTTTTTTTTTTTTTTTATAATTTTAGAATTTCTTCGATATTAGGGTCTGCTTATATGTTTTAGGGGCCACAAATTTTTGGAAATGATGTCCATTTTAAGATTACGCCACTGCGTTGCGACTCATTTGAGTTTTTTGCATTTCTTCGACATTAGGGTCGACTTATATGTTTTCTGAGCCATATTTTTGCCATATTATAGTCCAAATGGACATCATTTCCAAAAATCTGTGGCCCCTAAAACATATAAACAGACCCTGATATCGAAGAAATCCTTAAAAATACAAACAAAAAAAAAGCCTACTAAGTAAGGTCCTCACCGTTTTTCAGTGGTTAAAATATATCTATATTATAAAATATATAATTTTTCGTATGAGAATTAAATCTTTGGGAGGAGCCGATTCAAAGATATAGTTACCCTTCAACGGGGGGTTTGATATCCACGAATTTCGTTTATCAGCTAATATAAAATTGTGAAAGAGTGCCATATTTGATTATTCTTAATTTAAAACAATATATTTATCAATGCATACTGAACAAGCTTTTCACTACTGTTAGTGCAAAAGGTCATATGTAAAAATGTATTGTTTTACAAGAGAGCATTAAAATTCATTATTTCTTTATGTTTTATTAGTATAATTTCATATTTTATTGTCATCTGCTATTTTCCATAGTAGCAAATATAAAGTAGTAGTAAACTACTTAATATATAAGTAGCCGACTAATTATTTCAGTTGCAGACTACAAAATGTCGCTTTTAGCACAAATAGAATAAAAGTTGAAATTTTTTACATACCGCCTTTTGCACTAATAGTAGTGATATATACTTAATAGGTACACATTCACTCGTAAATTGGATGGAACTAGTAAATCGATAGGAAAAATGAAATTCAACAAAAAAAGGAAATTCAACTTATTGTTAGTTCGGAGTTAACAAGACCAATAATTTTCTTCCGTCAGAACAAAACGCATTAAACTAGAAAATATAAAAATATGGATGAAGTTCACAAAACTTCGATATTTAAGGAGGAAATCGAAACCAATGGAAATAAACACAATCACAAATAAGACTTTTTTTTACAAGAGAGAGAAATACTTTATTTATAGCAGTGCTGCCCTACTATATAGGGTTGCTCCATACACAGCATACTCATCAATCCTTTTTTTTGGACATACAAATTATATACAAATTCTTTTTCATATTACACTGCACAAACAATATCAATACTATAATATACTAATACATACAATTACAATTATACAATATATTATATATACATATTTCGTTGAAACCGATACAAGACAATTTTTAAAATTTATAGGGCTAAAAAAAATAAAATTATTTTAAATTTACTGAAAATTATACGAAATCTAAGTAACGGTAGTAAGTGTCATGCCAGTAACGTTTGGAATCGACCAAACAATAAAGTATCAATTAATTTTTTCATTAAAACCTAAAATTTTATAACCCCATAATAACAATATTGTAATAACCTAACTCCCACTATAGCCATATCAAATAACACATTTCCTGATCTGAAAGCGCAAGTTTTTTTTTTTTTTGGAGTTGTAAATAGAATTTGATAAAATAGATGCCTATTTCATTTTACGTTTACCATTTTCTAAATTCCCTCCAAATTTGAGCCAAATCGAACTTGCGGTTTTAAAGATATGGATGTGTCAAGGAAAACACGTTTGCGCATATATAACAGAAAGCAACGGGCAGAATTCAATAAAATTGATCCTACATTATTTTTTCACAAATACACCTACGAGTCATTTCTGCAATATTGGCATATCTACAAAAATGCGTAAGCGGAAGTGCGGTTTAGAATTTAATAAAATTGATATGGGACCATCTAGACACCAACCCACACATTCCTGAAAATTTCATGAAAATCGGATGAACGGTAGTAGGTGATATGCCCGTTACATCTATTTGACTACATACAGACAAACAGACACCGAACCAAATTCCATCCTTGATGTCTGAAACGTAAAATGTGAATAGAAATTTTCGATTCTGAGCATAACATTTTTTTTTAACCTCTCGCACAAATACAATGCTTTCCTACCTTCGGTAGTGAGGAAGCAAAATTATTCTAATCGTATTTTAATCTTAAATAACGAATAATAGATAATAGACAATGCATATTATCTGTAAATAACAAATCAGAAATAATCATCTGTCCAAAGGTCATCGGATAAGAATAACGAATAAATTATTCGTTATCTAGATAAAATTTCAAATAATTTATTCGAATAACGCCCAACACTGTTTTGAAGCACCACTTACTCTTCTTTCTGAATCCTACTTGGTGGTGGCCTAGTATACATTTATAGTAAGAATACGGCAACCGGAAGGAGTTCTTTGTTTCTTCAATTACCATTAATTTACAGCTCTTCCTAAGGGTAGCACACAGTAGTCCCATGTTCCAAGCTTATAGTATCCCCTATTTTCCAACTTTTGGTAATAGCTTGACTCTTGGGTGTTCTTATCCATCTTTAAACAGTTTTGATGGTGGGTAATCCATCCCTGGAGACATCTTTTATGCAGGAAACTATTTCTGTTTTCTGAATATTAACCTCTACCTCTTGTGGATCGAAGTCCACTGTGAGATCCGTATCTTAATCGTTTGTGTATTTCACGTGATTGAGAAGTTGCTGGGAAAGTTTTGTTATGATTTTTAATTTATTAAGGACTATTCCAGAAACCTTAAGAAAAGCTTTTCTTCACTTTTAATACAAACATTAAAACTTTATATAGAAAACATAACATTCAAATTAAAATATTTTTATTATCATCCATTTGGGAGGGGGGCTTCAGCCCGAAAGCCCCTCTCCTCCCCGTAGATCAGCCTGTGATCATGATAATGAAACTAAATTCGAAAATACTTTGCTGGATATCTTAAATTTTTTATTTAACGTTTGCAGTTTAACACTTTGTTTTGTATATTTACTGATTCTTAGAGGTAATTTAAATTGTATATACTTCCCCGGAAATGAGTCATATCAATACCTGTTCTATAAACTAAAATAATATATACCTAATCTGAACTACATATAATGAATAGTTGATGGATTGTTTGATCCCTTCCTGCCTTCATATCATGGTATATCGATTGAACAGTTCTTGTAAGCAGTTCTTTATTAGTCTTTCATCTCCATGTGTTAGTACTCTGATCCCAGATCGCTCCGGTTATCGTCCGAAAGATGTTTTTCTCAAATCTTTCAATACTTTTTTTTAGGGTGCTGGTTAGTGTCCAGATCTCACATCCATATATTAGAGCTGGCTTTATCATAGTATTGTACACCCGTAACTTGAGATTTTTCGGGATTTAAATACTTTTGAAAGGGAGAAGAAAGCACTGCCCTACTTATACGCGGGTCTATTTCTGCCTGTGTGTCATTTATTGAGGTTATTGTGGAATCGAGGTATTTGAATTTTTCTACTCTCGAGATCGATTTTCCATCTACCCAGATCCTGTTATTGGGGTTACTTATTTTTTTAATATAAAATACTATATTATTGGTTACGAGTAATATGAAAAAAACAGAAATTAAAGTGTTATAAAAATTGAAAAGATTGGTTAATACTTTACTTATCTCTATGCTCAACAAGTATCATTAGTGAATGAGATTGATGAGTTTTGCCTTTGCTTCAAATATTTAATTTAAGAAGTCAACATTTTGTCAATTTTTGCTTCCGGTATTTAATCTACTACAAAGTTTTCAAATAAAATGTTTTGAAATTTAAAAAAGTCTCTCGAATATTTATAAAATGAATGCTTTAAAAAAGTTATTTGTCCCTATAGTAAAAGTACAACACCAGCTTACTAGAAATACTTTTGTTTCACAAATAAGAAATGTCAATTATATTTCTAAAGCAATGCCTCCTTTAGAAGAAGAAGGTCGAGAGCGCCCTGAGAAGTCTAAATGGCTTGCTCATAATGATAAGATTTATCCTCCTCAAACACCTGATGAAGAAAGGAGACCAGCAGTATGTTTATTTTATCAATATACAAATATCACAACCCACACTTGATCAAATCCTTACTTTTTAACTGTATTTCGGATTTTCATATTCATATTTTTAAAAATTACATATTTACTGCCCCTAAGGTACTTTATTAACATTAGATTAATCTTAAGAACAAAACTACTATGTAGGTAAATTCTGTCTGTATCTGTATCTACTTTTAATTAAAACATAATACTTAATTCTTTTTTAACTACAGCAGTAATAACAGTATGTTGGGGAACGATTATTATTCTATAACAAGTCATGGATTTTCAATGCTTTCCAAATTTTCTGATTATGAAACTATACATTTGGTAGACCAAATTTACATATAACTGTATATATATATATATATATATATATATATATATATATATATATATATATTATATATATATATATATATATATATATATATATATATATATATATATATATACATATATATATGTATATATATATATATATATATATGATGTTATCATTTTTTTTTCTTTTGGCATTATAGACCTAGCAGATATTTTTCCTTTCGTGTTATCTCTACCTATCTTGGCCTATTTCTTTGTAGTTATCTGCATGCACCTATATTATATCTTTGTTGATTTGATCTATCCATCTAGTTTTTGGCCTCCTGTGTGGTGTCTTGCCTACTATTGAAGCATCCATGGTTGCATGAAGTCTTCCTTCAACCACAGGCCTCGCTCATCATATTCTTCTTTCCTTCGTATCATGAGATGTTGATTGACCAGTATCTGTAAGGAGTTCTTTATTGATCATTCCCATCTTGTGTTAGTGCTTTGATCCCAGATTGCTAAGGTTCTCCTGAGGAGGATTTTTCTCACAGATCTTTCAATACTTCTTTCTATGGCGCTGGTTAGTGTCGAGGTATCCTAGATGTATATCAGTATTGGCTTTACCTCTATGATGCAACAATATATATATATATATATATATATATATATATATATATATATTATATTATATATTATATTATATATATATATATTATATATTAGTGTGTGTGTGTGTGTATATATACACATTTTGTTTTACTGAAGAGATTTTTTTTTTTTCAGTTTGTCTGCCATGTGAAGAAAGACATTAAATATTCTCCAAAGAAGATGTGGTATATAGCTTGTTTTGTTCGAGGAATGTCTGTGGATGAAGCTCTAATACAGTTGAATTATGTACCGAAAAAGGGTGTTATAGCAGTTCGACAAGCCATATTAGAAGCCCAAGAACTTGCTGTTGAAAATCATAATGTTGAGTATAAAAGCAATTTGTGGATTGGTAAGTGATAATGAAGTTGTCATTTCAGAAAATCATTAGCATATTGTCCGTAAACTGTCTTGCCCTTGTTTTTTAATGAATCTATATTTTAATTTATATTATATAGCAATATACACACTGCAATCATACTGAAGCACTAAGATTCTACACAGATTTCACTAATGCTACATTTACATTAAGACGTTGTCTCCTATATGCTATGTTTTATAAGAAATATTTAATAAAAATAAATGATAAAAAAGTAGTAAAAGAAATTTGAACATATATTATATTGATTGGTCTAGAATTAACTAATTGAATTTCTTTTCTCAAAGGCTGGTTTGTGTTTATCATGTTTTCTAATTACCAACATTATTATTATTATTATTAGCATGGCTCTACAAGCCGGTGTCGAATCCTGGTCTCCTCCAGCAGCTTTCGCTAACTGTCTCGATCGCTTGCAGCCGCCATCCAATTCCGAAGCTCTAGCTTATTTGTTGCATCAGCAGCAACACCATCAGCTCATTGTAGTTTTGGTCTTCCTCTTCTCCACATGAAGTGGCTCTATCTGTATTTGTCTTGGTGGATCCTTGCTGGCCATCCTAACGATGTGTCCTGCCCATCTCAGTCTTGCAATTTTCCTCACTCGAACTATATCGAACTCCTTAAACATGATGTACAGCTCCTGGTTTTTCCTCCTTTTCCACTTTCCTCCGATGAGAAAACCACCATATATGTGTCTGAGAATTCTTCGTTCAAAGACTAGAAGTTTCTGTTCACAAGCCCGAGAAGTAGTCCAAGTCTCACAACCATACAGCAAGACTGGTCTTATAAAGACAAAGCTTCGATTTTCTGGAAAGAGTTCTACTCTGGAGCTGCCTTACCATAGAAAAATAGCACCGATTTGCTGCTGTGATCCTATGCCGAATCTCTTGTTCAGGTGCATTGTCTTGAGTTACCAATGAGCCAAGAAATACAAAAACATTAGTCTTCTCGAATTGGTACTCCCCAAAAGTCCACATTACCTGTGATAATTATAATATAAATATGTGGCAGAATTAAAAATAACTTTACTAAAAAAGCTTTCCATATATTTAATAAAAACTCTATGAAGGTGTGATTTCAGATGGACTGGATTGAGAATATGCCATGAAATATTTAACATTAATCAATCTATTATTACTTGTGAATTAAACTTATCTGAGGTTCTAAATAGGATGTGGTTAGGTTGGGGTGCCATCCTGGCAACTGCTGATTCGAATTCATCTAGTCCAGTGAAAGCCAAAGTCCAAACGCTGCCAAGAAGCCCATCTCCCCATTGGCTTTCAACTTCGGCGGGTGTAAAATTATTTAAACTAGCCACACCCTAAAGGAACCAGGTATGACTAGTTACTCGCAGACTTGAACAAAGATTCCCAGGCTACTCTACGTTGAGGGTGTCTTTGAAATCATCAGAAGTGTTTGATGTCGGATTCCTTTAACAGATTAATTTTCTTTGTTTACATTGTCAGCAACTGATATTGAGTTTAAAACATTATTTTCTTTGTTTAATATACATCATATACCTCGTCTATAATGTGGCATTACCCCCAAAATAAAATGTTGACTATCTGATGACTAATAGAGAACTGAATTAAGACCCACACATTAAGGAAAACACAAGATGTAAAATCAAAGAAGCATTTACGACAGAGGGACCCAACTTCCTTCGACTGTCCACTGGCTCCTCGGACTCCACGTAAAGGTGCGTGATTGATGTTTAGTTTTAAGGTGCTGGACCATTCCGATCCCGAAAGCACTTCTTTCTGGCATATGTATTTATTGGCTTTCGGGGTCTCTTTAAAGTGTCGAACTCCAACGCCTTGCCACCTGTAGCTGGCCCATTCTTCGAAATAGTTTTCTCTTAGCGACTATTGTAGAGCTCTCATGTTTCGGTGGCCCTGTTCCACTCCGCCTTTCCTCACATTCTGCGATTTCCGCATTACAATCAAATGTGGACTGGAACAGGGCATCCGGTACATTAGACAGCCGCTGGGCAATGGACCAATGCTGCAAAGGAGCCTCCCATTGGCAGCGGATCAGTCCCATTCCACGGAACCTCCTTGGTGCATAGAACATTGCCGTTGATGAATTAGCAGGGAGCCCGATAATGGCCTTGATACTCCTGCGTATATTTGTATCAATTCCTTCCAATATCGCAGGACGTATCTTCTAAAATAATGCCATAGAAGTGATAACTCCGGGTATTGTTTTTCTTCCTCAAACCTGACCTGCCATTATTATTTGCTGATTTTGTCAGCCAGTCCTCTGATAGTAATGATTAGATAGCTGTGGATGTTTAAAGTTAATTTTTTTTTTTTTGTAAATTTATTGTTATTTATTTATTTTTGTGATGTTGGTTTTCCAATGTCTTCAATTTTAATAAATACAAATTAACTCTGTTTAATACACTATTGTGAAAATATTAATATGTATAGATGAACTCTGCTTGATTTGTTATTATATAATCTAAATTAATGTGTTATTTATACAATAGGTAATACTTATATTATTATTTTTTTTGTTGAGTAGTTTAGTTTAATTATAGAGAATTAATAAATTAAAATTTTTATTTCAGCTGAATCTTTTGTGAACAAAGGAAATTACATAAAAGGCATTAGGAGACATGCTAGAGGTCGAGTAGGTGAAGTAGAGTACAAATATTGCAATTATTATATCAGACTTGAAGAAGGGCAACCTCCTGCTAACTATTATAATAAACCTGTTATGGACAAAGAAATACTTTTATCAAAATGGATTGAACAAATGAGAAATAGGAAAGTTATTAGCTCATTGTAGTATTAAATATAATAAAACTTATTTGATTATTTAAATTATTTCTATTAAAAAAAACGATGTTTAAATACCTTTATGAAACGACTTAGTCGACAAATTTCTCTAATTTTTTTATTTTATTGACATGATTGATTATGTTTAACATTTTTTATTCAAATTGCAATCTGTAAATCATTTAATAAAAAGCATTGGGCTATAAATTGACTACCTCAACAACTTTTGAGATGTTGGTTTATTAGAATTTGAGTCAGATCTTAGTGAATCTCTAAGTATTTATGTTACAACTCAGTAAGCGATTTTAATTTTTAAAAACTAAAGATATTTCTACAAAGTTTGAAATTGATGGATAACTTCTAAACCTTGTCAGTCCAATTCACAGAATTGTGTTAAGTACTTCATGTTCACTTGGTTACTTTAGTTCTAAAGTAGCAAAATAAGCAAAATATTTATCTTTATTCAACAGAAATCTTTTTTTTTTTTTTTGTTTACTAACAAGAGGAGATTACAGATGTGAAATCACCGATTTCAATGAGGTTTTCTTGGTGATACTAGGTCAAAAAATATTAGACCTGTGTCCGAGGATTCTTGCCAATTTGTCCATGAAAATTCGTATTTAAGGATTTTTCGAGGTGCGAAATACAAATCTCAACTTTGTTTCTACTTAAAAAATATTTGAACCTACTTTACTCTTAGGTCAGTACTATTTGTTTTAATATTGAACACATACTATAGCTGTATGCTAAATATACAATGTTTTATATACTCTTTTACCTCTTAAATACCCTTTCATATCTAAAGTAAGATTATATGCACAAAATCTAATATTTTGTCGTGATTTAATCCGAAAATAAGAATAAAGCATTTATTGTACATATTACACCATAAAGTGTATTTTTTTTTATAAAAAATATGATATTCATTTTTCGCACTGCTAAAAACCCTTAAATAAACATTATCGTTGCAATTGAAAAATGCAAATTTTTTGCTCAATATTCTGCTTTATAATTTTTGGTATTTCTAATAAATTCTAAAAGGACAACCGTACAGCAGAGAAAACCTTTGTGTTATAGACTCTATCCAGACCTCAGACTATACCTAAACAATGTGAACTGGTCAGTCACACTTTTCTGTGTAATTTAGGACAGCCTCAGGTGCTTGTGTGCACAAGTGGTAGATTTCATCACCAACTAATTGAAAAGTCTTTAGGTATCTTTTAATTTTGCAGTGGCATAACATTATTTTGATGTTACCTGGAGTTAAGTTCTATCTATTTATGCAATAATTGATTCTAAAAGCAGAGTGATTTTTGATTAACTGCTTGGCTTCTATGTTGAGAGGATTCTCTGGAAAATTAACTCCTGTGTCTGCTTTTCTGTCGTGGAAGTCATATTAGGGAGCTCTTAAAACTTAGAGAGCTTACTATCTATTTAGATAGTAATCCAGTCCTCTCACGTCTTAATAAAGGTACTATTTGGCTGGCGCGGTCGACGACAGCGACCGCTATTCCCTCCTGCCAACCACTGTTGGCGTAGCTATTTCGCTGAAACTGCTCACTGGGGTTGTTATAACCTGCCTATAACCTTCGAACATTTCGCTGTATCTTCGAAGATAAAAAGATGGACCTAATATAATAATAAAAATGAACATCCTATAATAATGAACATCTCTGACTACCGCTTTTTTATTTGAGTTGGAAAAAGAAGAGAAAATGTTGTTCATAAAGAGAAGGAATATCAGTATTTCGATGTGATGCTCATCATCAAAGTTCCTCTGATATTACATATTATTAGTTTGAAAAATAATACTAATTAATACATAATTGGTTAGTAATAAATATCATATATTTGTAACTAAATCTCAGCAAGCGATGTTTTAGAGTTTTATCAATAGTAATCAGTAAATCACCACTTTAATTAAAAAATACAAATCGTTTTTTCAATGGGTGGATTTTAGTATTTATCTGACGATAAAATTTGTTGGATTCTTTAATTTATTTAATATCGTTTGGATTTAGGTATATTTGTATTTCGCTGTAAAATATTGCTGGTGGAATAAATAAATAAATAATCTTGTTACTTCAACCTCAAAAAATAATTTATTATTGCATTGTTTCAGTTTTAAACAATATTTGTTATAATTTTGCCAGACTTAAAAGAAACATAGGAAATAAAACGTATCGACGGGACTGTTATCATCAAAACAATACTCTGATATGATAACATAACCTACAACCGCCGAACCGCCAACAGCTCCACTGCTTCAAGAGGAGTCAGATACGAGCAGCTTAGATATGACGTCATACCTAAACTGCCGAGCAGCGCCAGCGAAATAGGTTCCTTTCTATTCCATTAAAGCAGTGGTCAACCGCGAGCAGTCACGGTCGTGGACCGCGCCAGCGAAATAGTACCTTAAGATGTGGCTGCTGACAATATGACAATTGCTTCTATCTGAAATATGATAGGCTATCTGCCTAATGGGCTATTTAATTCTATGTCAAGGTCTTCTATTCAGTGAACTTAATACGTATTTTTCCGTTAAGGAATATAGGGCTTTATCAGTAGATTTTCCTTGAAGGTAGTAATATTGTTTCGGATGAAGAGGTGGAGTGATAGCACCTTGCTTGAGTACGTAGGTATACTTCACCAGTCTTAAAAAGAAAGCACTGATGATTTTCTCTATGACCCTGGTATATAACTTTTCATTCATATCAGTTACTGAGTCTTTTAGATGAAGAAAGTTAATTAGTCTTACTATAATTTCTAAATTATAAACTGCAGCCTTGATAATCTAAAAAGAGAGGTCTCCAAAATTTTAGGCCCACAGGCCGCATTGAGACCTCCGCCCAAGTCGCCCAAGCTAGCCACAGCTTGTGATGAAAAAAAAATCTTGCTGTATAAACGACAGATCAACTGTGAAATAAGCTTCAAACTTTAAGAAAAAAAACTTGTAAATAAATGTTGTAGTAATCTTGTGTGAGTAATTTGCTAAAGCTTGTATATTTAAAACTTTACGAGACCCTTGATCTAAAGAATACTTAATGTTCATTCCACTTCGACATGCAGACGAAATATCTACTGAAAAAAATAGGACTATTGTATCTGAAAAAGTCAAACAGGTTTTAGCGTTAGCGTCCTCACAGAAATCAGTGCAGCACTTGAGAGATTAAATATAGTGTGTAAATATGAAATCAGATATTTTTCCATAAACATATTTTTCGTTGCTAACTATACATTTTTCCCATTTCTCTGACGATATATTAATGCCATGTCAAAAAAAACTGTTTCTCTTCTTCATACACAGACACACAAACTTTCAATTTCCTTCCTGTGTCGCTGTTCTTTCACATATTTCATACGTTATATTGGCTAAATGTATACATGGATGGAATGATGAGGAAATAAATAAATAAATGTAATGAATATTTATTATTTGTATTTATGAAACACTTAATAATTAATGCATTTTCGCTGTAATCATATAAGAGTAATTTGCAAGTACAGCCCTTTACATATCACAAATAATTTCATAAACACATTTATTTCAACAAATTTAGTTCTATTAGAAATTATTTCAACAAGAAACAATAAAATTTACAAAAAATATTTTCTTTTAACTTATCAAGCATCAAAATTTCTCTGTTTTTATGATAAATATACTTAATAAAATTTAACGATTTTATCAACAATGGTGTTCATTCATTGAACATTAAAGATATATCTAAATAATTTAACAATTAGGTACATGAAATGGAATTGGTAATAGCTAGTAGCAATATATCAACAACACACTCCATATAAGTATTACATTATTTCATATATACATCAAATAATAAAAATTAACAAAAGTGATCAGTATACAAACACACTAAAGAAATTGTTCTAATATAACAAAAGTCTTCATTTAAATTATTATTGCCTTTGATTTAATCTTGTAATTTCTTTTTCTATAAATAAATATTTTATTTTAAGGATTACTTAAAAAAAATATTTTCAATACAATCCAATTTTAGGCCTCCTATTAAAATAAATAAACAAAAGCGTTAGAAAATTATCACCAAGTGAAACTCCAAAATTTTAAACATCAATGTATAAAATAAAAAATATCAGAAATATTTGACATTAAAATAGTCAATAATAATTTTAATTACACAACTAAAGGCATGTAGCTTGCTAAACATCAAAGAGTACTGAAAATAATTTCTGAATTTCTATTTAAGTGGTTTCCATCATAACATATATTGTATTTAATATAATACAAAACAGTAATAAATTATTTTAATTAGTATGCATTCGTTAACCCAATTCCAAACTACTAAATTCCATGGTTTACAAAGCAAAGTGGAAACTAAAACATACTTATTTGAAACAACACAGGATATTAACAAACTGAAAAAAAAAATGGCTGAAAATTATACTATACATGAAACAAATATAATAGTAAATTAAAATTAAGTTAAAAATAAAAAGGTCAAAATAATTAAAAATAGATGATATAATAACAGATCTCTATATAAACATATCATAAGAAAATATTTACAATCATATTTTCTAAATGGTAAGGAAAGCGAATGTAAATTACTTACAATATGTGCAAAGTCGCTCATTAAATAACATACAATAGTTTATTTACATTTAAACAATAAAATCAGCACCCTCTGCCAGACAAAAAAAAAAAAACATTTTAATAAGATCTTTTATACAACTACGCAAGTAAAAACAATTGAAAGGCCTTGTATACTCTAGGGCCTAAAATAATTCCTTAGAATTAGGTAACAAGACCAAATGCACATTTTTTTTTTCTTTTTACAAATGGCTTGTGATGTTCTGACATCAGCAATATATGTTTTAAAACCTCAATTGATAAGGAACTACAATACAATTATGTGATATCCATGGGGGAAAGGTTGTAATATTTTTTCTTTCAAACAAGTAAAAAAATCAAAGATCCATTAACTTCACAGTTCAATTAAACATAAAACTAAGGTTCAGGAACTGACTATCACTACACAGATCCATGCGAGCCAACAATATTTAATAAAATCTACTTCCGCTAACAGTTATTCTTACAAACTATTTCAAGCATACAATATTATAATAGAATTGCAAATGGAAATCATAAACAAGAATTGGATCTATTATAAAATAGGAACACTAAATGCTTTACAATAATCATTAATATTTAATTCATCGATCATTAGTAAATAAAAGCAGAAAACAAAAGTTGAAGCTACATGAAAAATTAAAAGTTAAATTTTACATAATATTGAAAGATATTTTACATGAAGAAGTAAGCTTAACTAAATGATTCTAAATTCTACGATACAATTTACAAATAAAAGTATTAAGAAAGAAATTGTTGGAAGATCTTAGAGAAATGATAGGAAAGAAGTAGAAATGCCTGGCTAAATTATTCAGGCATCTTTGTGGATCCTATAACTGGTGCATACACTTTAACAGCGGTGCAGAAACTGATAAGTAACTGGTGTAGTGTACCTATTCTATAAAAGATCCAAAAAGTTTTGTATCTGAAATAATTATTTTTCATGTTAGCAGAAAGAAAAACTTCATTATTTAGATTATTGAATTAGCAATCTAAATTCAATGTTAAACATTTTTCTTAAATTGGATTGGCATTATCCATGAGAAAGTTGCAACAGTTTCTTCGGTATTCTTTACTCAAAACATTTTGGAGTAGTATAAAGTTAATATTTTATCTCTGATGTTATTATACTCTCAATTAATTATAATTTTGTGATATTAAAAAGCAAGCTATTGTTTTTTTTTATGTATTCTAATAATGCTAAAAATAATTTAAGAAATTTACTCCATTCTGTAGGCAGAATATTCATTGACTATTTTATTATTATTCAAGACAAGATTAATCCAGGGAGTTGAACAGTCAGTAATAGAATTACAAACTTGAATAATTGAAAATATTTAATTTTCAAAAGAATTATTTAATAAAAATATATTTTACAAAAAAAAAAATTACAAATGAAACTGGAAGGATTTAGAATTTGAAATGCAAAGAAAAAATGTGGTGTTATATAAAAACGTCTTCAGGTGTGCCAATATTTTAATTAGATATAGGATATAGTTCTATTTCATGCCGATCAACCACAAGGACTAATATGTAACCACCTAATGCACTGTTTATTGCAATCATCGAAATATGTTCCCGACCCAAGTAACTCTATTCAGTCAATCTTAAATAAATATTGTCAATTTTTTTTGATTAGATATTTATTCAGTTTGCCAGTTAAAGAATTGGATTTATATATATATGGAGGTATAAATCAAACATAAAAAAAAACTATTTAGTATTTAATATATTTATGTATGTACTTGTATTCTTTGAATTAAATATATTGAATAAAATATAATTATTTAAATTAAAATTCTCTGTAATGCAGGCCAAATTAAAGTCAAATTATTGCTTCATTAAACAAAAGGACTTCAAAAGATTGTTTCTAAAACTAAGCATTTTCTGATTAATTGCCAACAATTCTGCTTCTCAGAACCCAAGAGACCTCACCTCGCCAGAACAAGATTTTGGATTCATATTTGGACAGAAAATTAAAAAAGAAAAAAATATTATTCTCGATATATTTTCTTTGATATTATTCTTAGATAATTATTTATATAAATTTCAGATATATTAATGTTATGGATGATAGTTCAGACGCAGTCAGTTTTTAAGATTTTTATTGCCAACGTTTCAACCCAAGCTTGTGGGTCATCATTAGGGCATGTTATCAGCACTGAAGGTGTTGAAGTAATGCAACATATTACTAGTGATGACCCACAAGCTTGGGTTGAAACGTTGGCAATAAAAATCTTAAAAAACGACTACGTCTTGACTATCTCTTGAGAACCCATGATATGTAGAACAGTCTACTGACTCCTCCCTTCAATATATTAATTTTAATTAACAATTAAATATGAGCATTTCAGGAGCCTATCCCAATCATCAGAATGCACATTCTTTTGACTATTTATTTTTACATCATTAATGCTTCAGTCATTAATCCATACATTTTATTCTCATAAAATGAAGTTGAAGACTGGATATCAATAATCAATGCCGAGCTGCAAAAATTGTATTAAACAATTTCACACAAATTTAATGTCTGCCACAACAACTTAAATGCCACAATATTAATATTGGTTCTCTCCCTTAATTATTATAGCATTTAGCTCTAAATTTTTATCTTGCTGTGGCTTTAAGTTTGCATACATTTTTTTAAAGTCAAATCTTTTTTGCTGGTATTTGTTCTTTTATTGACATCCAGTCTTCAATGTTAATACACTATTTTGTACAGGAGTTTTACTAGTTTGGAGAAACTACTAAAAATAGAAAGAAAAAATTTAAGATGTACCCACAGACCAAAAAGGTAGTAGAAGAATACTGACCTAAAAAACCAAAAACAAAGAACTGTATGAAGAAACTGAAGACTTGGAAACATCTGAGAGGAAAAAGAAACTAAAATATTTCAGCCACATGAAAACAGGTTGAACAAACAGATAGTGATGAGATTAAGAAACATCGGATTATACCTCAATCAGATGGAAGAGGAAATATCAAGACCTGATATTGTAGAAAAAAAAAAGGAGAGAAGTGAGAAAATGGACAGACGAGTGAAAAAGAGAGAGAGAAATAATATCCTAGCGATCCTTCAGTGGTCATCATTGCAAAAAAAAAAATTCAAAAATAATAATTCAAACAAAAAATTAATCGATGAGTATGAGTTGATAACTTAATTTTGTTTTGAATTGTCAAATTATTAATTTTTCAGGAATAATTATCTAATATTAAAAAAAAAAGGTGTCATTGTATTTTCTAAAAAATAAATCAATCAAACGTTCTTCCCTTATTTTCCCCTACAATGAATTTGCTATACATTTTTACAATACATTTATAAATAAGCTAAATGTGGCAATCTTATTTTCATCTAGTATCTTATCATTGCTTAACATTCTGGATCTGTAACACATTACACTATATGAACCATATTTAGTTTAAATAAATAGTTATAGTAATTACAAGTAAAACATTAGTCTCAACAACTAAATTTGTAAATAATTGAAATATGGCAAAGATGAGATCTCTGTCTCGGATAAAAAAAAAACTAGAGGAAGCTACAATCTGTTGGACAAGTCAGATGATTCCAACATCTGTAATAAGAATGTATCGATGGGTATGTCATGAAGAACCCTATAGAAAAAGAGTGGTTCAAGGCATTTCAGGCCAATAGACCTCAGAGAAGGCAGTCGAAGTAACAATTTCGCGAAGCGCCCAGGCTCTTCTGGATGGGTTGATCTTGTATATTCTTCGAGTGATGCATAGACTTTTTCCCTCAGAGCTTCAACTTCTCCTACTGACCTCAATCCCCGAACTTCTGTAAATTATATTATTAATCATTAAAAAATATACAGGAAAAAAAGAAGATTAACTGAAAGGTATTGATCTTTGATATTGTATGCCTACATTTCAATAACTTATACTTGCAGATTATGATATATTGAATTACTTGAATTTAGTGAAAATCATGATAAGTTCCATATTTTTTTAATCCTTTCATTTTTGACTTATTAGTGAAATCAACAGAATAGAACAGAACTAAAAAAAAAAAAAACTATAGAACCTTCACTTGAAAAGTTGCAAGAGAAAAAATTCTAGTTTCGAAATAACTGAAAATCATTTAAAATAAAAATTCCAGTCATATTAAAACTGATAAAAGATGAAAGCCTAATAAAATTTCATTTCAAGCCATGGTTAAAATAAATAATCAGAAAATTTTGAGATTTTACTTTCAGTTTTAATCTTACTCTTCGAGAAGCTATTTTCTAGAATCTCTAAAACTTTTGTTTTACATCCTAAAACGTTTAATTTTGTTGGTAATGAATGATATATTAATTTGCCTCACAATAGTTACTTGAATCAAAATTACCAAGATCACTTTAAAAAAAAATTATAACTTCTCAAAATTTGCATGGCATTTCTCAATGCTTAAAATGTATAAGAAATAATTTCTAAACAAAAATTTCATGTTCACGTTCTATAATAAAAATGATTTAAATAAACAATACAGTACATTTACAAAAATTTATCAATTAAAACACTTACCTGGATTATATAATATTATAGTTCTCAGGCAACCAAGTTCTGCTTTATCCATCTTCATTTCTCTCATTTTTGAAACTAATTCAGTGAGAGCTCTGTCGAATATTGTATCAACACCAGCTTGATGAGCGGTATTTCTACAAACTGTTACTCCAGAACCTAAAACTATTTTTTCTTTAACACCAATAGAGCGATGAGAAAATCCTGCTATCAGTAGCTCATTCCAACCTAGAAATTGTTTTTTCAAGAATGAATATAACAAAAGATGAAAACGTTAAATTATATATAACAAATATCAATAAACTTGTCAGCAATAATTAAACTGTAAGCAAAGATAAATAGTATTAAAAAATATATACCAGCTCTAAGAAGGAGTACTTGATCTTCGATAGGCAGAGAGGTAAAATGTGGTATTTGTTTAGCCCATTCAACAAGCTGTACCAGTTGTTTATCAGTCGCTTGAAAAAGTGTATTTGCATTCTAAAACATATTAAAGTGGGTATGACAGTTAACTTCATATAAATATATATTATATACAAATCCCATATTTAGTTTCCGAGATATTTTAATCTACATCTTCAACAAAACTCATTATCATTTGGTTGTTGACATTATTTTTTCTTTTTCACCTCCCTAACATGGCGTTGTGTTAAGAAACAATTTTGTATAATAGCTCATTGCAGAGGGGATGAAATTATGAACATTTCCCACGCTGACAATATGCAGGTCCGATTTTTAGTTTTTGAGATATTTTAATCCATACAAAAACACTTCAATAAGATGACTCCAGCCAACTCTTCCCGAGTATTACACGAGATTTGACGGCTCAATCTAATTCACTCTCCACAAAAAAAATGAATGCGCCTAAAGAAGTTTTCACTTCAATAATAGAGTTCTAATTGTTTAACTTTGTGAAGAACAAGATATATTAATAGAAAGATAGATGCTGGGCTATTATAGTAATTCTGAATACTTATGATGGCCCGGATGTTTTGTGCTCCAACATCAAAACAACCAATAATTTGTTTTTTAATTTAATGGCTCAAGTAATTAAAATTTCATTCATTCATTGATAATCAAACCCTTACATGTAAAAACAGTAATTATAGAAATAATACCTCATATTCTACCATAGGCTCCACTTTGAAATCAACTCTTCTTTCTGCTTCTAAAATCCTTTCAACAGGCATATCTGTGTGAAAGCTGCTGGTGCTTTCAACTTCATTTTGATCTCTCTCTTTAGTTCTTTGCCTTTCTTCCTAAAAAGATAAATAGAATTAAAATATTTTCTGAATCTCAAGAAATAAAAACATCATAAAATAATATAATAAAGAAGAAATTATATATTTATCGTTGTTTTATATGTTTCAAGATGTCCAGTTGTTGGACTCAATACTGAAGGAATTTCTAAAAGGTTAATAGGTGCTGAACCCACAGGTAAAAGAGCGAAGATTAAAATAGAGAACTGTGTGAAAGGAGAATTGAATGGTTGGGTCATGTAACAAGGATGAATGAAGTGAGAATGCAAAATAGATTCTGCTTGGAAAAGGTGTATGGCAGCAGAAGGAGAAGACGACCTTAGAAACTTTGGAATCAGGATGTAGAAAGGGACCTAGAAAATCTTGGTATAAGGAACTGGAGGAGGAGAGCGTTGTGCAGAGAGGATTGGTGCAATGTTGTCAGGGAAGCCAAGGCCCACCCTGGGCTGTAGAGTTACTTAGTGAGTGAGTGAGTGTGAACCCACAGGTAAAAGAGGGAAGATTTAAAGAGAGAACTGTGTGCAAGGCTGATCTTATCAATTTGAGTGTTTTGACGGAAGTCAGTGTAAATAGAGATTGATTTTTTTATCAACATAGCACTTTTGAGAAAAGTCTGCTATTTCAGTCGGTTACATAATTACCTATATTTTAAGGCATAGGTATAGGCTATGATTTATTGTTTGAGAATAGAGTCTAGAGGAGAAATTGAAATTCCTTGGTCAGGTTTCCAGATACTTAAATGGGTTACATTTAACTGGATCAAGACAAAAGCTAAAAGGGACAAATTTGTTTGACATTAATGTATTTAGTATAGTTTTAATGATTCTAGTTTTATAAAAAACTTTCAGTTCTACCATACTATCTAGAATGTTGGGAGAGCATATTTACAAATCACAAGTGGTTTGCGTCCGGTGCCAGAGGGGATTTTAAATCCCCCGCCCTCATCCTCTGGCCCTGGAAAATCCTGTATAGCCTAATAGGCGAAGTAGAGACAAACAGAAAAAAAGAAAAAAAAAGAACTCTTGTTATAACTCAGAACGTTCATAAATTGCCTCAGAACTCAAAATATTTATAAACTGGCTCAGAACTCTTGTTATAATCCAAAAGTTTGTAAATTGGCTTAGTGTTTAAAGGACTAATTTACAATATGGAAACAAAGTGATCATTTCATTTATCTACAAAATTTAGTGCTAATGCAAGTCCTTCATTTGGCATTATTTTTCTCAAAAAGGGATGAGAACTGTTCATTATCATTTACAAAAATCCTCTCTAGTACTTGTGTAATCTAAGCGAGATTGTGTAATCTGTCTTTTCCGCTCCAGCTGGCTAGTGCTTCTTTTGTTCCACCCTAGTTCTCTTTTCTGAGAATCTTTTTCACCTTGACCTGATAAACCTGACTTCCAATTCTTCAAATGGGGTTTATACATAATAGTGTTTTTTGTAAATTTCCAATTGAAAAAAAAAGTTAATTTGTAGTAAAAATAAATAAATAAAAATAATTATAAGATAAAAATCTGGATACCTGGACTGCTTCCCTTTTCATGCCCATTGATAAACATTTCTGATATCGGCAATATTGGCATCTATTCCTTTGACGTTTATCTACCAGACATTGTTTATCTTCACGACAAGCATAAGATAAATCTTTACGTACTGTTCTTTTGAAAAAACCTTTACAACCTTCACAACTGAAAATGAAAAGAGGAGAACAATTAACTAAATGTTATCATAGATTAATAAATGTTATCTTCTCAAAGGTGAACTGAACTTTGTTGTAAGCAAAATCTTTATTTCTTAAAAAACAATCATAAGGTCAATGAACAGTTTTGCTTTAAAATGATCTTTTTTGAAAAATATTTAAGAAGTAATTAATTGATAATATAATTTAAGTTCTTTGAAAACAACCATTGATTATTATCAAAGCATTTTAATAGTAATTTCCAGCTACAAGATAAAAAGAATACTTTGAAGAAATATACTTTATACTATAGGTATCAAATAAATTCTACAACTAAAAGACTTGATTAATGATACAATTCTAATTTGTTATAACTCACAACACTTCGGTCAGTAATTTTCACACGTAACAACCTAATAATAGGAGGCTGTTAAAATCAAGATCCTGAGTCAGAAAATTTATAAACCATTTATTTTAATTATTTTTTAAAATAATGTCCACTCTACTCCTAGAGCCAGTAGGTAGGAACTGCTGTAGGTATATTTACTTAATTTGACAGATTTATCAATTTATAACTATCAAATTAAAATGTATGTGGACAACTTGTATTCATAGATAATGTTGCAGTTTTTATTTCATTATTTGTAAATGTTGCTACAAAAAAAAAATAATGGCCAACCAATCGCTGTCTTTCTTATCTAATAAATTTGTCAGGACATTAATTCTTTTAAAAAGTAATTGTAAGTAGATCACTCTTTTCAGTGAAAAAAAACAACAAAACATTTACCCACATAACATGAAGTTTTTTTGTCATTTTTTCTTACTCCAAATAATATTGACTAAACAATAGTATTATATTAAAGTTCTTCTATGAATATTCTGACAAGGTGCTCAATGTGATAAAATTACATTATTTTAACAAACCTATAAACTCCATAATGCTTTCCTGAGGCTCTGTCACCACATATGCTGCAGAGATGTTTAGAACCACTCAGTGGATGGTTAGGAGGATAAGGGGTATTCAGGCTCTTGTTACCATTTCCAAGTACACTGCTATGTGCCATACCAAATCCCCTGATAAAAAAAAAATAATAATAATAAATTATATATGTATTATATATATATAAATTATATATGTGTGCTAAACGGTAATATATTAACTTAAACAAAGAGGTAATTAATAAAAAGGTAATTATTTTTTACCTTGAGGGTTTCTTATGTTTATTCCAGTTTTATATACTTTAGGATATGAAAAATATGCTTTCATACTTGTACCTCTTTATTTTCCTAATGTGACGTTTTGAAATATTTTACCATTATCATTCACTTTAATTTTTGGAGACAAAGAAGCAAAAACATATACACAAGATTCTTCAGAAGATGAGCTTAATTATACGAGCCTGCCTTCTCAACCATTAGACCAAAAATTTACAGACAGAAGTTAATCTAGAGCAGTAGCATATTAAAAATATAACTTTTTTTTTAAAAACAATTTATTTAATGTTAATTACTCAGGAAGAAACTATATAAAATGAAAAAATGGTCCTTTAAACCGTTAAAAAATCCCTGTCTTCCTATCTTACTCTGTCCTCAGGAGTGGCCCAGGGCTCTAGCATATCTCCTCTCCATTTTAGTTCTTATATCAACGACATCCATAAATGAATCCTTCACAGCTCCCATCACCTTTACGCCGATGATTCCCAAATTTACCTTTCCATCCATCCCTCAAAGTTGCATAAAGTGTTCAAGAAGACTTGAATCGGATCAGTGCCTGGGCAAACTTAAATGGATTAAGATTAAACGCTGCAAAAACTCAAGCCATTGTCATTGGTTCCAAACCTCCTCAGTAAAAAACCTAGGCATTTTCATAGCATTTCATTTCCCGATGGTCAATTGGTACCTTGAAACTATTCCATCGCTTCCGCCATCTCCTACCCATCCCCACACGAAGACTCATAGTATCTTTCCCCACCTTGATTATGGTGGCCTCTCGGCAGAACTCGGGGAGAGATTGAAAAGAATTATGAATGCCTTCATAAGATTTGGCACAGGGACCATGAGGTATTCCCGTGTTTCGCACCACTATGCTGAATTAGGATGGCTCTTCTCTTCCTTTCGAAGAAAATATTTCCTAGGCACATTCCTTTACCAAATCAATAATCAATAATCATCGTCCGTCCACACTCTCTCCACAAGATCTCGTCCTTCTGACCTTTAAACCCCTTTCCACAGATCTGCATCATTTCAACATTCCTTCGTTGTCCGTTCCACTGCATTCTGGAATTCCATCCCACTAAAAATCCGCCATGCATCATTCTTATCCACCTTTAAAACCCTCTTATTCCAATTCCTCTTCACAATCCAATCAGATGCTGGCTAAATACATACTATGTAATAAGGCTTTAATTTTCTTTAGACATCATTAGACAAAGTCTTCTTTGTCTAATAATAATCACAATAATCTAATAATAATAACAATAATCTTTAGACATAGTGATTATTGTTTTATTCTGTGTTGAACATGAATTTTCATCACCACTCACTAAGCATTGTGAGTAGATACAATTTGTTTTCCTTAATTTCTAATTTTTCTATTCATGAGATTGTATTTCGTTAAAATGTATTTTTTTTTTCTAATTATCTTCAACACACTCCTCGCTATGTGTATATATACTTTTTTTTTTTTTTTCTTCTCCTAATTTTCGCATAATCGCTTAAATATCTTAGGGAACATATGTATATAATTTTTTTTTTGTTTTTAATTTATTTCTTTACATATTAACAGTTATTATTATTTTATTTTTTAATTTTTATATTCCATCACTACAATGCTTTGCCTATAAAATTGATTTTGCGTTCTACTAATTTCATTCAGTGATTATTATGCTATTTTTTTAGCTCCAATATTGTAGTACTGAACCCCTATTACCCAACTGTTCTCGTTAATTTATCCTAAGAGCTATTATACTTAATTTATTACTGGTATTTTATTATTCATTGTAATAGGTCTTTTGGCCAGATTTATGGTTAATTTATATTAACAATACTGTTATTCTAAAGGAATCTAGTCCCAGAATAAAGATGATTTTTCGAAAAAAAAAAAAAAAATCTGGTGTGCGCATCACAGGACTTTCATTTACCACCCTCTTCTTAACAGAAATAAGTATTTTCAGACAAAGGGGAAGTGAAAGTAAAAATAATAGACTTATTGAAGGAAGTTAGTCAACTGTTCTACATGTCGTGGGTGATAAATATTCAGGATGCAGTATTTTTTTTTTTAATTTAAATTTTTTATTTATGCCAACGTTTGTTTCAATCCAAACATGTGGGTCATCTTCAGGGCTGAAAAAATTTTAAAATACAATCAGAGATATAATATTATACAACTGATAATGGTAAATAATAAACTATAGTGATTGATGGTACATGAATCTTAACTAATATTGCAATATACATATCAAAAATGAAATATATAAATAGTTATACAAACTAAAAATTAAAAAAAAATGTATATAATCCATTTATACAAATTTGTAATATTCTCTCTTCCTAACCATGGTTTGAGCACTGAGGGTGTTTAAGTACTGATATGAATTTGGTAGGTAAGTGAAAAGGTCGGTAATAATAATAATATTCTTAATATTGTCTTTATTATAAATATTATTTGTCTAACCATTGTATACTTTTAATCAACTTTATTTACCATTATTGGTCGTATAATATTATATCTCTGATTGTATTTTAAAAATGATTCAGCCCTGAAGATGACCCATCCACATGTTTGGATTGAATCGTTGGCATAAATAAATAAAAAAATATTTAAAAAAAAAGTCTGCGTCCTGAATATTTATCACCCATAAAAATTATGGACGCTATATTTATTAATATATCATTGCGGGTATTTTTATTTTTTTAATTACACTTATATATACAAATATTAATTTTTATATCGTTGTAATCTATACAATTTTTTTTATTTTAATGAAATTTACAACTGTATTACATAGAAAATACAACAAGTAAATGTGACATTGGTAACATGACATGTACAACATGAAGAGAAACTACCCATTGGTAGAACTCAATTTAAAGTTCTATACTAGAAGGTCCCGAGGCCATCTTCTTTTCAGACGCCTTGGAGGGTTATCAGGGATCGAGGAGGAAGCAAGGGTTGTTATGGAAGGATAGGTATCTGGATTGGGCCAAATCGGAAACATATGGAACATTAAGGTCTTTATGGATGATTTTATTTCTCACAAAGTAAGGAGCATTGAGAATTTTACGAAGGATTTTGGATTGTAAGGATTGGATACGAGAGGAATTCGATGGTTTAGTGGAGCCCTAAAGCTCAATTCCGTAAGTCCAAATAGGTCTTATTATTGTCATATATATGAGTCGTTTGTAATAGATTGAAAGCTTAGAGCGTTTGTCTAGTAAGTGCTGCAGTAGTGGAAAACGTCGGGCGGTTTCTAGTCGTTTCAGTGTGGTATGGGGGTTCCAAGTGAGTCGTTTGTCAAGGTGGAGTTCTAAGTATAAGGTAGTACAGGGATAAGAGGGCTATTGTTGAAGGATACTGTAGGACAGGAAGTCATAGGTTTACGACGTGAAGGTAATTTGATGGGATTTATTGGAATTTATTTTAATCCTCCAGTTTTGACACCATTTTTCAATACTTGTGATGAGTGATTGGAGAGTTTGGGATGCAATAGATGGATCGTTATTAACTGATAGGATACACATGTCATTGGCATAGGTGATGATGACAGTGTTGGATTGGGTTGGGATGTCAGCTGTATAGACTGTGTAAAGAAAAGGACCTAGGATACTACCTTGAGGAACACCGGCAGATTGAGTAAAAAGAGATGAATAAGCATTGTTATGATTGACTTTGAAGTATCAGTCAGTAATCTATACAATTAAATATTAAATTAAAATCCATATTAAATATGAAATATAGCATTTATGAAAACCGCATATGTATATGTACATAATATTGTCGGAGTCCGTATTATATTAAGCTCATGTTCCGTATGGAAGCCGGTTCTAATCTTTTGGGGGCGTATTCCTTTGGTTCCCCTATATTATAACTACTAATCGCTACGATCTCTTCTTTCTCCATTGGTTAATTATCAAATTCTTTCATATTTTATATTTAAATATTTTTAAATCCAAGATTAATGTGAAATGGTTAATTATTTCAAATAAAAAAATAAAATAAAGGTACTTCAGAGGAAGCTAATATTGAAAATTAGCAAATTAAGCTCTGCTAGAGAACGCCAATGAGAATAAAACCTACATTATATTAATAATTCCTTAATAATACACTGATATACTGAGTTTAATCAAAATCGTTAGAGCCGTTTTGGAGAAAATCGTACAAATGTGTTAAATCGATGATATAAAGTACCACTTTCAGTTTGCCGATATTGACGAAAATTTGCTATAACATCCTAGGCATATAAAAACCTTAAAAACGCAATTTCAGTTTCGTACGAAAGTAAAAAAGAGAGTAACTATAACATAATTTGTTTTTAATTTTATCTTGATACATGCTTACATTTAGTAGATGAACACACGTTTTAAAAAAGAGATAATATATTGTAATTGTTTGAAATATATAACTTTGAACACTCACAGAAAAAAAGATTGAGCAATGAAAAACAAATTTATTTGGGTGGGGGCTTCGGCTCGAAAACTCTCCCCCTCCTCGGTGAACCCGCCAGTGCGATCTAAAGCAGGGTTCTTTACAACTTCTATTGCATGGGTTATTTCCAAACAAGAGTGTAATTTATAGATTGTTTATTTATTTTCTGCCACAAGCCGTGGCCCGCAGGCGGGATTTATTGGAGGTGACAATGTAACCCGCGTGACTTGAGAGGAGTCTCAAAAGGACCCGCGGGCCAAAAATTTGGAGACTCTTGGTAAAGAGGAAGAAGCAAGGGATGAAAACTACAATAACTTCCACTAATCTTTAAAGATTAATAGGAAATTATTTACATCACGTAGTGACGTCATTGTCCTAAAAAACCATATGTAAGATTGAGAAAAATCAGTCATGGGTAAATCCTAAATAT